CACTGAAGCAAAAGGAGTCAGCATTGGTTAATCGCAAGGGTTCACTGATCCTTGATGGTAATGCCAAGCCTCATGTGGTGCAGGTGACCCCAGGGATACCATACGGCGACTTGGCTGGGAAACACTATGCTCTTCACCTAACTCCCCGGACCTTGCGTCAAGAGATTACTACCCTTTCCATTTCCTGAACAACTATCTTCCTGGAAAATCCTTTGTAGATGAGGGTGACTCACGACAGACACTCAAAGACTTCTTTGCATCCAAGAGAACCTGATTTTTTATCGGTATGACATTAGCAACTTGAAACACGTTAGCAAATAATTTTGGATGCTGATGTGGATTAGTTTTATGACTAACGGTTTTGTCAAAATTGCTGTATACCTTTTTTTCTAGTTAATTAAAAACGGCAATTAATTTTTGGTTACCTTGTATTTTGGAGCGAAAATATTAACTGTGAAATTGTTTTTCAAAGTACAAAAATAGTTTTATTGTCCTGATATTAATAATACCAAATTGCAATTTTACAACAAACAGTTACAAATGATTATTGTTATTGTTAGCAATAACTCTGTATAAAAGAAGAAAGGTAAGCATCACATTACTCCATGTGGAATCAAAATACGTTAAGTTAAAACAATCGCCTGCGACCTATAAATTTGCTTACCGAATTTGATGTACATAAAATTATTTTGCTGTGGAGAACAACGTAAAAACATAAAATCAATGTTAACTTCTTGTATCATTTGTGAGATTGCATCTCTAAGGTCAATATTGAAAATACAATATTAAATTTTTATATTGATTACTCAGGACCCACACTCTCCCGTAGGTTGTACCTTGTCGCAGTTTGGGCACATCGATCATCACCTCGCGTTGTCATGTCACAAGTCCCGTGACCCGTTTGGGTCGTAGGGACATCAGATGTACTACAGCAGGTATGTCTATAGAAAGATCACTTTCTCCTTGACGGGTTTTCACAACAAGCCAAGAGATCCCAGTTAGCCTTGCTATTTAACCCATAACTAGGGAGAGAAGATGGATTAATGCCTGGTGTAACGGTATTTGCGCGAAAGTGGGCATAAAGAACTCGAACAAACAACTTAGATACAAATATTAACATAATAGACAAAACATTAGTAGATAATAGCAAAATACTGTATGAGACTCGCGTCAAGGAAACACACTCAAAATAATACAAACTATTATTATACAAAATAAACAAGGCGCATTATACATTTCAGCACATAAGACGGAATCTTGGAGTGTCTCGAAAGATTTAATATATGTTAAAAATAAGAATATTACGTATAAACATTTGCTGTGTGCTTTTCCGGTGCTGTCTCGCTCGTTTTAAGTTACACAAGAGGTCACTTGGGACATATTCGAATTCTAGTGCTCTAAATAATGATATGACGTAGTCAACAAAATCTTGTCTACCACATTGACAACACGCAGTTCTTTTGATATGTTGAGAATTATTTGATGACGTATTATGCTCAATTTTTTTTTATGTTAATATTAATACGTCCACAAATAAGTCTTAAGTTCTAAAGAAAAGTGTTATGTAAAAAATACTGGATTAAAATACTACAATTAAAAAATCTTTTTAAAACATCACATTAGTTACCTCCCTTGTAGAGAAGTAAAATATATTTTGAATTTACGATGTTAACGCATAACACATCCATAGATATGCATCCACTGAAGGTGTGATTGAAAGTACTTGGGGAAATAAAAATTATTTGAAAAAAACTTTTGGAAGTTTTCTAAATCAATTTTCAACAGTCACCAAGAAATTAATTCGTGGACTTAAAAGGATTAAAACTAAAATAAATAGACATAATACGTCTAAATTATTTAACCAAATATACTTGAATGAAAATATGCTGCCTAAATATATATATATATATATATATATATATATATATATATATATATATATATATATATATATATATATATATATTAATTGCTTTTTTTATATATGTGAACATTATAAAGGTATCAATGTACCATGGAAGATATTCATAGTCATAACAAGTATATTGAATATGGAATAAATGACTAGAATTATCTACTTTTTTGAAAATATTTGGCTCTTCGTGTTCATTAAATTAGAATTTAGTAAATCATAAAGCCACATTCAAAATCAAAACATTGAATCCGTGATTAATGACTCTATGATAATTTACTTAAATAAAAACCTGTTTGAAAGAAAATAAGCAATATATCTGAGTAAATACGTTATGAAAACTTAATCATTATCAAAAGCTATTGCGATTAAAAACTAAAAATCTAATTTAAAGTTCTATTTGATCATATTATAAGAATCAGTGTACCTTAAATTGTTATAATTCATAATTCATGTCAATGTTTCTAAGATAAGGAATTGTTCAAAAGATAAAATGTTGCTTTGTTATTGACAGATCGTTGACGAATATTAAGCTAAAATCTTGAAAAAAAAACTTTCGGTGTGTGAGCTATAGTAAATGATATAGAAATCACTAGTCTACTATAAATAAATAAGTGCATGTCCCTTTTTTGCGATTAGTTTTGTACTTTTCAAACTTATAACAAAATTCAGTTGATATTTTTGAGTTCAACCTTCTCCATGCAAAACTATAGTTCAAGTTAATATTGACAGCCATTTTATGATGAGTAAATATAGTTTTCACTTAATAACAATATCAAAACCGCTTAAATTAATAAAGAATTTTAAAAAGATTTAAAAATTAATTTTTTCTAATCAAAATTTTTAAAAATGAAAAGAATTTTTGTAAAAATTCATTATTCATCGAAAATATTTTTTCTTAAGACAATAGCGCCCTTAATATATTTTATTTTTAAAAGCAATTAAGAGAAATTCTAATTTAAAAATGTCATAGTCTTATTGCATTTTTTATTTTACGATTTAGATAAGATTTTCGATATATGGTGTTTCTGTTTGACAAAAACAAATTGATGATTTAAATTCTCCAAGAAGTCCTACATTTAACTAATATAAATACAAAGATCCTGAAAATTTAATTTACCGAAATTTCATAAAATTAAGTAAGTTGTGGGGGGGACAAATGTAAAAAAATATTTCTAAAAAAGATTGTTTTAAACAATTACATTCATTTGTAAATAAGTTCTGAAAATTTCATTAAAATCCAATAATTTTTTGATTTTTGCAAGAATTTCTAAATCAGTATATTTTTCATGACAAAAAGATGTTAAATTTCCTAATGCTAATCTTTGGCCCACTCGCTTACGCAAAAAAAAAGAACAAGATTTTTAATCAAAATTTCGAACGTGCTAGGAGGAATTAAAAATTTAATAAAATAATCAAAAAATACTTTGGTATTTCCTGTTGATAATAATAATCATTTTGACGATAAAAATTTGTTTTTTGCAAATTTAATGCTTTTTTCATCATAGTGTGCTCTTTTTTAGAAAATTTTTGGGGGTACCTAATTTATGTGCGCTATCGTGACATGCCAGTGATGAGACCAAGATTTACGACAATACCGGAATTCATTAATTCGTTCATTCCGTTATCCATGCTGATTACGATAATCCGCCTCATACGCTGTAGTTTGAAGATTAAAAATTCTAATTAAGAATTTATTTTAACCTGAGTTTAAACAGAACCCCAAATAGTAATTTTTTGCATCATATTTTTTACTTTAATATCTTTTATAAATAGTTCAATGCTTTTAAAAGAAATTAAAAATTCGTTACTCTTAATAGGCAAGACATTACATCGAGTCTCTTGCTGTAGTCTTCAAAAGATAACAATCAATTCTTCCTTTTTTTTTCTCTTTCAGCCTTCCCCTTAACAATAATCTAAAACCAATATTAACCAATTCCATAACCGATTCTCATTGCATCTACTGTCTTCGAGTCTCAACTCTCTCCATACACTCTACCCCCCAACTCTTAGATAACTGGGGTCGCTATGGGCATTATTTTCGGGCGCTTTTATCGATGTCAGCAACTGCTGCCATATCATGTTAAATCCTGCTGATCATCTTCGACGTGATATATTGAAATTAAACAGATGGTTGTAAGGTGATCAGCAGGAGTCGATGCACCTCGGAGAACCAAAATGGTCTCCGAATCAAAATTTCATTCAGAGAACTTTTATTTATTTACTTATTTCTCTTGTTCAGTTAATCCTTCAGCCACGCGCCTGGAAGCAATGCTCACTAAATAAGAACCGAGTCGAACAAACAAATTAATTGGGGTATTGACACTGATTATGATTCCCAACAACGAAGAAACAACGTCGACGTCGCTTAAAACGTCAACGTCATAATTAAACAATAGACTTCCAGCGTCGGCTCCTCAAAAGCCGCCATTTTGCAGCCAACCGCTGCGACGTCTTTATCGTTGCTCACCCTTGCAATCTACACTGGACTCGATTGTACAATTGACCTTTAGACACAGATCACTTCAGAAAAATGTGCTCATGTCCATTTTTTCTATCGTCTCACTCTCTCTTTTACTATCTTCCCATGCTTTCGTCATTCGTATCTCTCTCTCACTCCCCCTCATTCTCTTCACCCTACCCCTTTGATCTTTCTTAATGCTTTTTATTCATTTTGTTTCAGTCATTCTTCGAACAAACGGGTGATCTCTATCGTTTTTAGACGTGTGCCCATTTCGTTGGCCGAAAACCAGTAAAAGAAACGCTGGTCATCCGGATGTCCATTAGATATAATTTTCCGGTCTTTTATTCAGGGGCTAAAATTTCGCCAATTCGCGCTAAAAGTCTGGGCAAAACCACGTAGGGCGGATGAACTTTCAGTTTGTCTCTGAAATATCTTCCACCCCATCTACACCCTATTATTCTAAATACTCTCGATACAGCAATGGACAATAAATATATGGCGTGGAGATAGTTCCGGGGGGGGGGGCTCACAGAAGGAAGTCGTTTCTTAAAAGTTCCCAATAATTCTTGACTCATTTTGAAGAGAGTGAAAAAGACATTGTTTGCACATCATTTAAAACCATTTATGTACATCTCTCTCTCTCTCTCTCTCTCTCTCTCTCTCTCTCTCTCTCTCATTATAAATCTATTCAACAGATCTTCCCCTGTCATTCACTCTCAGTTTTTTCTTTCCCTCTGTCTCTATCGCTTTCTCTTAATATTGGTCTTCATATTTTTTTCACTTCCCTCTCTTTCTCATTATCTATCGATTCCATTTCTTCAACAGATCTTCCCCTATCATTCTCTCTCAGATTGTTCTTTCACCCTGTCTCTATTGGTCTTCATATTTTTTCCACTTCACTCTTTCTCTCTCTCAAATCATTTAACTTTCGCTCAGTCTCTCAATCTTTTCTATTCTCTCTTTTTTTTTGACACCTTAATTTTCCCATTTAAGCTAATTACTAGGCACATGTGTTTGAGTTGCTATTCCTTTTTTTCTTGTTTTTTTTTTTTTTTGTTTTTACTTTCTTAAACAGTGAAATTAATAACCGCCAGCTTAACTTGAGAAGGTCTACTGAAAAAGAATCTGTGCTTCCGGCAGGAATCGAGCCTTGTTTTTAACCAAGGCTTGCCGTTACCAGTTTGATCAGGGACAACAGCTTGACAGAGAAAAGTTTGAATTAAGCTATTTAAGGAAAGCCTATTTCTTGTTAGGACTTTTCTATCTGCGAGCTCCAGTTTCGTACTCAACATATAAACAACAGTGTTTTTGTCTTAATTTCTGGAATGATGAGTTATCATTATTTACATGATTTACATTCGAACTATTGTCCTCGTTTTTGTTGTTGTTATCCAGCCTTCATCAGATGTACACCAACAGGGAATTCTGAAATCATTTATTTCATCTACTAGGGATATCTCGTCTTGTCCTTATTTTTACTAATGCTCCAAGTAAACACTGCCCAACTCAGGGATTGAATTCACAATTAATATGTCACCAAATTTATGAATCAACGTTTTAATCCACTAAGCTATTGACTCTTATGCTTGGAGCCTTAAACTTAACCTGCTTGCTGTGTAGTGCTGTTGTTCTGCGGCCTTTCATGTTTGACGACTTGCTGTTGAAGACTTGCTGTCATTTATGTTTCTTTCTCTATTATTGACTTCTATATTGTATTTTCAATCGGTTTCGAACAACTGTCGGGGCCTTATTTGTAGCAACTGTGGTGAACAGGTTTACCACATCCAAGCTTATCATCTGATCTCTATGGATGGGCGCCCCGTTGATGAATTTCATAAAAAGTTCCAAGTTTGTAACATAGGACGAGGACTTCCCTGTTAGTAGGTTAATCATATCGATTGGGAATTTTTCAGGAGGTGGTATGCTTAAGCCCTACAGCTGACTATAGATCTCAATGGAATACCAGCTCCGTGAATCTCGGGGAAACCATACATGTGCGACAGTTTGGTGTAACGTTGAATTAGCTGTAGATATTTATTCAGTGCGAAGCGTAGTAGCCCTTGTTCTTCTATAGGATTTGTAATTTTTAAAGGATTTTTTATCCGCCATTATTACTATACACATCATTTTTAGTGGGGATACGTGTTTCAGTTGCTATTTGTAGAAGATCTAACAAGAGATGAACTTTCCTGAAATAAGGAATTACAGCCTTTCTCTCTCAGTTTGCTCTCCGTAACAGCGATGCGCTCTGACTAAAAAGGTGCTTTCCTTGATAAAAAAAAAGTTCCGCAGGTTCAATTCCTGTCGGAATTACTTTTTTAGTAGTGCTTTTCAATTTAAGGCGGTTGTTATTAATTTCATTATTTTAGAAAATAAAAAAACAGGGAGAACAATAAAAACACGTGTCCCCACAAAAGATAACGTTTAAGGTAATAAGAAATAACATCGGATAAAAAATCCTTTCAAACATATATATATATATATATATATATATATATATATATATATATATATATATATATATATATATATATATCAGACTAAAAGTGATAATAGTGGTTATTTAGAATTTCTGAATATTTCTTAAAATTGGTCCTTTCCAAAATATTTTGCCTAGAAAGACAATATATTTTCAAATACTGCTTTATTAAGCCCGAAAAATATTACTCGATTTTGTAAATAAAGTAAACAGCATCTGATCAACATCAAATATAAATCAGGTCTTTTCCTTTATATAATATCAAACCGTACTGATAATGATTTCAAACTAAACTGCTATCAAAAATACACCAGTAAAAATGATATCATTATCTTCTAATTACATAAAAACTGCAAAATAATATTCGGGATAATTATCGGTTTCTACTTAACAGCATTTTGAATTTGCAGCTTTTAGCATTTACATAATGAAGTGAAATACACTAAGAATAATTTTAAGATCTAATATCCAAAATTATTTTGAAATATAATGCAAAAAAGTTTATAGAATTCACACAACTCCCAAAATTTGGATAAGACTGGTAGATAATATTACGTTCCAACTCAGTAACGTATGCAATTGAAAAGAATTTATCCAAAATTAATATAAAATTTGTTACTTCTTCAAAAACAAGTAGAAATTTAATACAAAGCAAAAAATATTAACATTAAACCTGAAGCGGGAATTTAAAAACTGTTGAATTTACAACTGTTGAATTTACAACTGTTGAATTTATAACTGTTGAATTTACAACTGTTGAAACCTCTCTGAATTGAAATAAAATATTCTTTGAACATTATTCTTTTGAGTAAAATCTTTTACAAAACAATGCATTAATTGCATTAGTCGTACATTGTCAGAATTCTGATCAGAATTTAGACCTAAAGAAGGCGATTTTGATAAAAAAAAATAAAGTAAATTATTTAGGCGAAATTATATTGAAAGTGCGTTATTTTCGGAATTATTAATGGTAAATTTTCATCTAGGATCATACAATATATCTACAAATTTCATACAATATATCTACAAATTTCATACAATATATCTACAAATTTCATACAATATATCTATAAATTTCATACAATATATCAAAGAAACTTACAGTACATCTCACAAAAATAAAATGTGGCATAAGTAAAATAATAAAAATAAATATAATAAAATGTTGAATGAAATATATTCAGATACATCAAACGTTAAAAGTGAGATTTACGAGTCGAGGGTCCCTGTTTCTTTAACATTTGGATATAAACTGCAGCCGGGTTTGGACTCCCCCCTTTTGTAGCATATTGCATTAATAAAATTGTTATTATTCTGAAGATTTGCAATTCAGTTACACAATATATATAATTTCTATTATTTATATATTATTTTATATATGCGCGGTACTTATTGGAAAGCTCTCAATATCGGTGATAGAACTAACATACTTTAGTTTTATTGATGTGAGTTTGTGACCCAAAGTTTCACGCCCTTGCGATCGTCAGACAAAACATATATATATATATATATATATATATATATATATATATATATATATATTATCCTTCTTAGGTTTACCCATACGGATTACCTAGTTTTTCATAAAATATATATATATATATATATATATATATATATATATTGTTCATTGACCAAGTTAGTTGCAGTAGCCAGTATCAGTATATCGTTTTCAAATCATAGTACACAGCCCTGATTTCAAAAGCCCTGATTTCAAAAGGGAAACCTATCATTTCTAGGTTTTCAAGACTATAATGAATTTCGCAAAACTTTCGTTACATATCTATGCCATAGTTTCCTGTGTCTCGCCTGATATTTTATACTTCTTTTGAAATCAGTATAAAGAAATAACTTTATATTTTATCCACTTTCTGCTCTTGAAAGAAGACACGTGGCACTTAATAGAAATAGAAAAATATATTTAGTCATCTATACAGACCGAGAATTTAAAAATGGAATTTTATATATATATATATATATATATATATATATATATATATATGTATATGTGTGTGTGTGTGTGTGTGTGTGTTCATATGTATGTATGTATATGTATCAGGTCATCCCATAAGTTCTATCCGAATTTTAACTTTTTGTTAAAATGAACGAAATTTAAAGAGTATTTTATAATGTCTAATGGTGCTAAACATTATTTTTATGTTTAGATGTATTTAAACTGATCAAATTTTATTTCAGAGAACAATAAAATTAAATTTTGTTTGATTAAAACCCTGTTACCCAAGAATCATTTGAGGCACATAATGCTTTATGAGTTCAAGAAAGGAAACTCAGCAGCCGAAGCGGCTAGAAACATTCACTCATTTATGGAGAGGAATGTGTGAATGAAAGAACTTGCAGAAGATGGTTTGCAAAATTCAGAGATGGAGATTTCACCCTTGAAGATGAAGACCGAACCGGACGTCCAGTTGAGTTTGATGAAAAGCTTCTTGAAGCAGCCCTTGAAGAAAATCCTGGGTGCCTCATGAATTGTCTGAAAACAACCTCAAATCGCGAGTTGACATCTGCTCTTCTCTCCATTCTCGTCAACTTGTTTCACCTTTTTTGGATAGACATGTGACTGGCGACAAAAAATAGATCTTTTATCGAAATGTTAAGCGTTGTAGATAGTAGCTTGGTAAAGGGGAAGGACCCCAGCCACAACCGAGAAGGGAACTTCATGGGCAAAAGGTTCTTCTTTCAATCTGGTGGGATCGCCAAGGAATAATCCACTTTGAATTCTTACCACCTAATGCAACAATTAATGCTCAAATATACTGTCAGCATTTAGAGCGTTTGAACCAAGCTTTGAAAAAAAAAGACCTGCTCTAGTGAATCGAAAAGGGGTGATGTTTCATCAGGACAATGCGCGACCCCACACAGCAAGAATTACGTCACAAAAGATCGAAGAAATTGGTTGGGAGAAAATTCCTCATCCATCCTATTCTCCCGACCTTGCTCCTTCAGACTACCGTTTGTTTCGTAGCTTATAGAATCATTTGGAAGAAACAGCTTTTGTAACACAGGAAAAGGATAAAACTGACATTTGTGAGTTCTTCGAATCAAAGCCAAAAGAATTTTACAGTAATGGAATTAGTAAGCTTGTTAATAGATGGAAGGAAGTCATAGACAATCAGGGAAAATACATTGTTGATTGAATCTGTAATTAAATGTAACATTTGATCACTTGTTTTCTTTATTCAAGACAGAACTTATGGGATGACCTGATATATATATATATCAACTTGACGTCTTTCACATGCGCTGTCTTCGTGTCATATGTGATATAAAATGGCATGACAGGGTCAAGAACAGTGCAATACTGAAGAAATGTAACAACATCACATGCACTGAAACCATTCTAGCAAACATACAAATTAGGTGGGATGTCAATGTTGTTAGAATGGAGGAGCATAGGCTTCCAAAGAAGGTGCTGTATGAATAACTACCAAGCGTTCAGTTGGACGTCCACTCTTACGCTACAAAGACAAACTGAAAGACAACTTGAAACGTCTCTACTTTGATCTAAAAACCTGGGAAGCTCAGACATCAAACCGAAAGGAGTGGCGTAAGACATGTTTCATTAAGTTAAATGATTTTGAAGAGATTAGACTGAAGCATCGTTAATCTCTGAAGCAGAGACGCCATCAAAATTCTGCTTTAACTAATTTCATCTGTCAGTGTGGCTTTTTTTTGCGCGCAACAAGGCTGGGCTAGTATCACACTTAAGAAAGTAAAAATGAAATATGTCTTTCCTTTACCTGATTTTCTCCACAATAGCTCTTTCTAGCAAGAAGTGTAAAACGAAAGGCACCATACACTGCTGACCCTCATTTATCTTTCACGATAGGAGAGTCCGAGATATATATATATATATATATATATATATATATATATATATATATATATATATATATATGTAGAATATGTTTTATTTCCACCAGTTTGGTTGACCAAAGGAAAAGTCTTTGTTTATTTTGTTTTTATTGCTTCTGCATTTCCGTCTATTTTCCTATCAATTGTCCAATATCTTTTGAACGCTTTCAACTTTCAGAATCCATAATTTTCCGTTGATCGATTTGTGTCTCTGTGGATACATTGTTTTCTCTTCGATAGTTAACGAGTTCCGCGTCTTTAATCGTTGTATTATCTTCTTTTTTTTCAGTATCGCGTCTACACGTGTCAATTAGTGGTGTAGTGTCTTTGGGGGTGTTTTTTTTTTCATATTTATCTATTTTTATTCTGTCTTCAACTAAATATATACAACTAGACCACCCGTGACCCGTTGGGTCAACTTTCTTGTGTTACTGTTTACATTTAGTTTCATGAAGAGTTTGTGAATATAGAGATTTAATAATACATTTATTTGCACTTACTGAAGTTGCTTTCAACATTAAAAAAATTGTCTGAAGAAAGTTGAAATAAAAATACTTACTGTATAAACAAATCGTATTTTTAAATCATATATATATTACCCGTTGAATATTCAGATCATAAAACATTGAAGTTGCTTTCAACATTAAAAAATTGTCTGTTTGAAGAAAATTGAAATAAAATATTTAAAATATTGTTTGCTTAAAGAAAGCTGAAATATAAATAAACACGCACACAATAACGGGAAGGTGGAAAGAGAGAGCGTTTTTTTTCTCCATTTCCTTCTCTCCGCCTGCTTCCTACATGAGAATAAATTAATATCTCTCTTTCTAGATATGACTTCTGGCAAACACACAAGCAACGTTCACAGAATTTTATAGTAATAAAGATTATATCCGCGTCAGTTCGAATGTTGGTTCGAGGCTTCCTAAATGAATGCCGTAAATAACCGAGGCACAACCTGTTTCTGTGAAGTGAAGCGTAAATAGTGAACAAGTTTACTGACAATTCTAGTTCTTCTGTGGTGCATTATGCCTGCAATGGGCAGCTTTAGGAAGAAAAACAGGCCATCATTGAGCATGACAATTAAAAGAGTCATCCAACAAAACCATCGCAAAGTGAATGGTAGGTTTCTATCAACATTTAACACACCATTGAATTAATTTTGTTTTTGATCACATGAAGATTTTATTAATGCTAAGGTATTCAAAAATAAGGAAAATTAATTCTGATTCACTATTTTATTATTTTATTTTTTTCCGGAAACATAATTATATTTACGTTTGGCGATTGGATTGTTTAAGCACAGATTATATTATTGGATAATAAGATTACATGTACGTTTATTTTATTTGCGTATTGAAACTGTGATATTAGTTTCCAAACGACCAGCAAGTCTCTTTGAACAAACTGATGTTTGCAGAGAGACCGATGGAATTTCTTTGTTTTTATGGCCTTCGTCCAATAAGTAACAAAAGCTCTGTATTTAGTAGGAGTAAATATTCCTTCACATTTGGGAGGGAAAGGATAAATGAATATTGTTGGCTATGAGTTTTCATTCTGAATAAATAAAACGTGAAGGTCATGTTGAGAGAGGAACGAAGAGAGAATGAGAGAGAAGATTATCTAAACGAACATTGCTTTATTTAGCATTGAATTGACTTGTTTTACAGCGGTCGAGTAAAAGGGAGGTAATCCATGCGATGTGTTATTTACTCCAGCAAAGTATTTAATAGATTACATACTTGTTTCTTCTGACAGTTTCTTGATTTTCTTGATTTTATTTCCCTCAGAATAACCTGTAGGGTAACTTCGCACGATGTGGACGGTAGACTGGTCGGGAAATGGTTTTCTAGAAGAATATGCCAAAGACAGACGGAAAACAAGGCGTAAGAAATAAGTTGAATCATTTTACTTCCAAATAAATCTTTGCCCGTTGCATACTTCTGCTTTCTTCTTGCTTTTTTTTCTTTATTGCATTCTTTCTTGTTCCTCCTTTTCTCTTTTCTCCCCTCTTCTTTAATTCCTACTTTTCATTTCTCTCTTTCTTTCTCTCTCTCTCACTCTCTCACCATTTTGCCTTTTTTACCATTTTGTCTTTCCTTCCCACATTTCCTTCTTGATTCCTTCCTTTTTTCCACTTTATTTCCTTTCTTCTCTCCATTTTTCTAACTTACATTTCATTATCTCTCTTTCTTTCTGTGCTCTTTCTCTATCCTTTTCATTATTTTTCCTTTATTTTCCATTTTTCACTTCCATTATTTCTCCTCGCTTATGCGTTTCTTCAGCTTCTCACTTCCTTCCTTCCTTCTTCTTACTTTTCTCTGTTGTCATTTATTCCAATTTTATTATTTCATTGATTTTTCTTTTATGTTTATATTGATTCATTCTTCGTTTCGCTTTTAAACTTCATTTGTCTTTCAAAGAATTTTGTTTTAATTCGTTTTACTCTTTTCTTTGTCTTTCCTTTTCTTCATTCTTCCTTCTCTCTTCATTCTTCTCCCTTCATTAAAATCCAAATTCATATCGTTCTTGTTTTCTTTTATTTAAATCCTTTCCACTTCTTTCATTTTTATAACCTCTTTTCCTTTCATTCCTTCATATTTCTTTCTTTCGTTTTTTCTCTCCTATACTCTTTCTCTCATTTTTGTCTCTTCATCGTTTCTTTCTTATTTTCAGAAATATTGTATTTTTTTTTATTATTGTAGCATTCGTAGGCAAATTGTCTCCACCTTCCAATATGAATCCATAAAAAATTCTAGCCTGAGAATTAGGGATCCGTCATTAATTCTTCACTCCATTAAGATGGAAAAAGTAAAGTCTTGAAATCTGTAACCAAAACTGATGGAACAAAATTCTTCATTGAAAATACACGTTAAAAATGTTATGGTCATTTTTTAGTTTAGTAGGAGTAAAATGTATTAGGATAGCGAAAGATGCCTTCCAAAAGCTAAGCAAAGGATTAACAGAAAATCTTCGTTACAAAGAACTGTAATATCAGTCCTCCTATATGGCAGTGAAGCAAGACAATCTCCTCACAGATGAAGAATAGACTTGACGCAACAGAAATGTGGTTTTATAGAAGGATGCTGAGAATATGTGAGCAACCACTATGTTTCAGAGAAAATTGAAACAAAAAAGGACACTTATAATTAACATCAGTTTGATATTCACTAGCCAGATTGAAGGCAAGAGGGACAGAGGAAAACAACGAATAACATACTTAGTGAACTTGAGTAAATGGCAGGTTTAATAAAGGTTTAGGAGAGATAACAAAAAGACAAAAAATTATTAAGATCTACAACGAATAGAAAATTGTGGCTAGTCATGATCGCCAACGTCTTAAAGGGACATGGCACATAGAAGACGAAGGAATAGGTATGAAAAATGAGCAATCCTTTCGATTTTTCTTCATTCTCTTTCTCTGATTCAACCATTCTTTTTTGGATTTTACTGTTTTATTTTGTTGACTACCATCACCGTTTCATTTTTACATATTTCTTTTTCCTTCCTTTTTTATTTTCTTTCTTTCTATCTGAATTCTTTTTCTTCTTAATGTTTTTCTTTCCTTCTTTTTTATTGATTTTCTTTTTCCGTCTTCCTTAATTTTTATCCTTTTTTAATTTTTCCTTTCCTTTCATAATTCTTTGTTTTTATCTTTATGTAGTTTTCTTTATTTCTTTTTCTTCTACTTTCATCGTATGTTTTCTTTCTTTCTTTCTTTCTTTCTTTCTTTCTTTCTTTCTTTCTTTAATCAATCTTTTCCCCTTTCATTTTTTATCCTTATTTTTTTCATTCCTTTTATAACTTTTCATTCATTGGCCATTCGTTAATTTGCGTTTCTTTTCTTCTTTTTTTTTTACATACATTTTACCAACGCTTGCTTTCTTATTCCGCTGAGATCAAGGGTTTTCGATTTCAAACCCATTTTGTCCGACGTCACAAAACAAACCAAGAAATAATGAACGGTGAGTACAGTCATTTGACCGCGCTTCCATTACTCATTATTCAAAACAATTTCAATCACAGCCCTTTCCACCGATTTTAAGGAAAACTGTGACGGAAGAGAAAAAGAAAATATACAAGCGAATTATTCATCCACCTGAAATTCCTTATAACAATTCGTCATCCTTGTAGATATGTAGACGATTGCATTGGAACAATCTGTAGATGTAAACAAAATGTAAACAATATGTAATAAGATGTAACAATATGTAGACGATTGCATTGGAACAAGAATCACAATATTCCGTAGGTGGGCAGCACTCACAATACACATCAGATCAAATAGAAACTGAATTATTTGTCGAGATTTACTGAAATCTGATTTTTCTGTATAAATAACGAAAGAGATCTCGTGTTCGTCCATAAAAAAAGAAACTACACAAGCTCAAGCTACCATTAGGATTTTCAGAATCGTAGAGTGCATTCACGAATGAGGAGTAAACTGGAGGCAGCAAAAATTTGGTTCTGCAGAAGGATACTGAGATTTCCATGGATGGTGCGAGTAAATAAAAGGGAGTTTTAAAGAAAATGGCAACACAAAGAAGACTTATACTCAGAATCAGAAAAAGACATCTGAAAATCTTTGTTCACATTGTGAGGAATGAGGTCTTGGATAACTTAACCCTCACGAATCAAATTGAAAGGAAAAATAAAACAGCGAATCCATTACTTGATTAGTTTGTGTGAATGGATGGTAGAACGAGGGGCGGAAGCTTTAGCAGGGGGAGAAACATTTGCTAAGGGAGACAAGGAAGGCTGTGGAGATACATTATCGCCTATGTCCTTAAGGGACGCGACACAGAAAAAAAGAGTGTATTTGATTCCAGAAAGGAGAATGATAATGAAAAAATATATAATTTATCAAATTGTGGATGTGGCTGTTTCAGTGAAACATTAGTTAAAATTAATGTACCAAATGGGAAGAAAATCAAGACCTTGCTTCTTTAATTGGAAAACAAAATGGCAGAACATAAAGACGAGCACCTTGTGCATGACCATTGGTGAACCAAAGCCGCGAGTGAATGAAGTGCATATGAGAAAGATTTTAATCTCTCTAAATGAAAATATGAAGATTTAGGTTGGCGTATAACTGGAATTGATTTGACCGTGTCTTATTTAGAAGTTACGGATGGACAATGGACACTGACATTGAAAGAATAAAAAGAATTCTTCAGCTTTTTTTTTTAACGTGTCCATTTCCCAATCTGTGTTAGATAATTCTTTGGGATTTTTCATTACAACAGCGGTTGAGAAATCTTATTCGTGTTTTTCAAAAAATGAATACTTCAGTAAACTGAGTGGATTGTTGGATCATTTTGAATATAATCCTGAAAAGAATTCATTTAAGGTAATAATTAAAGTCAACGCACAGCCAATTGAAAAGCATTCAAACTTAATTTATTTATTTTTATTTTTAGAATGAAACTGAACTCATTGACACCGTTAGAATAAATAAGTGCTTCTCAAATTTCCTTTGTTCTGTAGTACAATAGAACTGCCTTCCCTTTATGTCTAAGATATTTCAAGCCAATGTTAAAAGGTCCTTTATGCTGTTTTTGGTCAGATATTTAAACCAGAGGAAAGTTTATGCCCAGGCGTGTGAAAAGGTTACAACATAAAGTTATCCACGCCGATATTTCCATCAATATGAATTAAGTAAGAAATAAATTCAAGTCAAAACAATTTTGATATAATCCAAAAAACTACAAGTGAGGTGTGTCAGAACCTTGCAACAGGTGCACATACGATAAGACTGCAGACGTGACGTTTCACACCTGGAGAGATGTCATAGTTCTCATGTTTACACGAAAAATACGAGAGTTGAGCATTCGGTCTTACAACTTAAATGAAATGTGTGATTCTTTTTAGGATGAAATGAAAAAAAAGAGAACTAAAGCGTATTTTAAAGGCTGAAGACAACACACATGAGAGAAAAGTCGATGGTATTATCGGCTGATAATGTTTTTAAAACAAAAATAATCAAACCAAAAAAATATATATAAAACTAAATTTCTCTCTCTCTCTCGTTCGATCAGCGAAGTTAAGTATTGATCCCTATCAGTACGCATATGGGGGACCGCTTGGGAACATTAGGTACTAAATCCGAAATATTATTCGACTCATGCTTAATTTACAGTGTAACACCCGCACTCCGTTTGCATTAAAAATTTCCAGAATTCTTACATTTATGTGTAATTGTACACGCTCCATTCGAATCTGGCTTGATAAATTTTTATAAAATCTACCGTTTTGGAATTATCGCTTTTCTAACCTGTTCACTTCGGTGATAATAGACTAACAACAAAAGGCTTAAATACTGGTACCGCATATACTTTTAATTTAAAAATGCCTTTGACTTTGTACATTTTCCTAACTCCTCAGAATATAGTCGCCAATTTATTTTTTAGTCTACTCCGTGTTTTCTTTTTCTCAAAATGAATTAATCGGCCAATTCCATAGTTCAAATAATTCTAGCCAATTAACGTCTAGTAAATTCGAGTTGCATTTTTTAATATGTAAACATCTGCATTTTTAATTTTAATTGCTAGGACGATATTACGTGATTTTCCCAAGAAAATTAATTTTTTTTTTGTTTTTTGTTTTTTTGTTTGTTATTGTTTTTTTCAAGTTGGGCTTGCCAATTTTGTTCCAAGTTTGTTCATCAATAATTCTAATATCACTACCAGTGTTCAACTGAAATCTCACCGTAGCGTTATTCCTTTGTTTTGTCACGATTTTTCTATTATTTGAACTTTCCTGTTTTTTAACTGGTAGAATTACTTCCAGCAAGTTAATGCGTGTCACAAGTAAAACATTTTTTAGTTTTAAATGAAGCATACCACATCGAAAGCATAGATTAAGTTTTACAGTATTTTCATTCTTTTTTTTTTTTTTTTTTTTTGGTAGTAGTCTTTTTCTAAGCATTTGTACTTCTATCGTGACATTTTGTTCGATTTTCGCTGTATCATGACTTAAAATGATATTTTTTGACACTCTTCCGCAACAGTCTGTATTAACTTCGCATGCCTCGTCACCTCCACCTGAACGCCCAAGAACACAGAAAGCGAAACTCCACATTCGTCAAACTGAGCTCATCCCTTAAAGTATTTCTAGCCCCCCCCCCTCACCGTATTAAAACACGATATAATGCCTTACGAGACAACAGCCGGTGTCGGAAAATCCTTTCTTAATCCGTGTGAAGTCTTTCAGAGCATGTCGACACCCGCGATAGAAGCACTCGGCACGAGGATCACGGTGAGCCTCCTCCTCGCTATCATGCACAATTCTCAAAGATAGACATGCTTTGTTAGCGTCTCTTTTCCAAAATAGGCCTTTACCATCATCTTGCAGATACATTCGATCCAGGAAATTGAGTCGCATTGTCTGTTGACGGATCTCAGTCAAACATTCCTCAGACGTGTGGAGGCAACAGACCTCGCAGCGCACCTTAGGAGCACTGTCCCACCCACAAGAGATGAAACAAGATTCAAACCAATAAAATTAGCTCGGCGCACGGGAATGGAAATACCGAGAGTCTGTAAAGGACGATGGAGTAGATGTGCAAGGCACAAACTTCTTCCCTCCCCTTTAAGGAAAGCCTCCTCTAAGACCACAGACGAACTGCCGCCTGAGCCTTTTCTTGGATCTCCAACCAATTCTTTTACAATTGGAGGTTGAAGACAAACCAGCCGCCGAATATTTTGAGAGGCCGGTCCGTTCGCGTGAATGGTCCGGGAAAAGAAACTCCCTTCCACGCACCCAACCTGAATCCCACAGACTTGTCGTGTTTGATCTTTCCTCCTGGTTTCCTTGCCGACTTCGTTAGGCTCGGTCTTGCTTTTCACGAAAGCGGTCACGTCATCGACATAAACGGAATACATGGTCGTGGTAGTCATACTAGAGATGGTAATTCTATGTAGGAGCAGATTCGCTTTTAACTTGCGAAGGAAGGGATAAGAATTACAGCATCTTGAATTGATCTGGAAAACATGAACGGTTTCAAACTTATGTCTTATTCACTTCCAATATCTAACCGGGGGACCGATACAATTTATGGACCCAGAATCGAAAGTACGGCCCTTTACAGCGCAAGTCTGTTCGGGACCAATCAGACTAGGCAGGACAGCCTGCAAACGGTTGGTTAAGATTTGGGCCAAAATCTTTAATTCTGTATTCAACATAGTTAAGGACAGGAAATTATTAATCCCATCCCCTCCGCAGCAACTAGATCAAATCTTTGATGAAGCGTTCGAGACTACTCCCGTTCTTCATTCATTGGTTAAAGACCAGTGTCAGCAGAGAGGCAAACACGTGCGACTGCTGTGAGTACTTCTCATAAGGAGGTCTATCGATACCCGGAGTCTTATCTCTGCCAACATGCTTCAGTGCATCCCAGATTTCCTCGGACTCTCGCACCCAGCTGCTTCAGTCACCTCGAGGCGAGGAAAGTCAACTAAATTGTCGAAAGATCATGAAAATAAGATCGGAAATGCTCTCATATGCCGTCGTTTGTAGTCAGGGTATAGACTTTCGACTAGTGATGTATCGGTCTGTGATACTCCGAACGTCTTAGGCGCGCAATTCAGCGCCATGTTTGTTGCTCCGGAAGACGTCCTTTTTAATCTAGTCCTAACTACAAGAGATTGATCCTTCTTGATAAGCAAGGAGGCTAACTCTGCTCTAGCTGCAGTTATTTCCCCAATATCTCCCGATTTTATAGCACTTTCTTCTCTAGATTCTTGTGCCGTTTTCTCTGTTGATCAATCTTGGTTGGGTCGCTTACTATACTCTGCAGCAAATGACCTAATGAAATTCTCAACTACAGACCATCAAATCCCACATTTATAGTTAGTAAAAGATAACTCCTTCTCATAAAACAACGATGTGTTAGTGCCCAATCTAGTCCCCGGGCGAGCCATATCAGGATCGAGGACGTCATTCCTGTCTTCCGCTAAAATTACCCGATGAGATGTCGTCAGAAACGGATCGATCAGCCAAAGAAAGGCGGCCCGGTCCCTGGAGTCGTTGGGCGCATACACCCCATTGAAAAGAAATGCCTGACCTTTTATGGTAGCATCCGCGACACAAAGCCTACTAGCCAGATCCGCGAAGAGCAGCGTTCACACAGCCTTCAAGGAACAGCTTATCATCCACTCCCACCCCCATCATAATACGCTGAGAAGAGCTCAAACCTCCTCGACAGTATAACATCATGGTCTCCTGAATGGAAACGAGTCTTTTGTATAGTCCATATATCCACTCTCAGGCACTGAAGGGTGCGAATGAATCTCGCCCTTCGAGAGTCTGACCTCAGCCCCAGAACATTCAGACTAGCTAAACAGAGTGACATTGTCACATCTAATAGGGTTGGCCGTTTGCCTTAAACATTGTTGGTGTGTGGATACTGACGGCGTCGCCCATTGACCCCTGGCAATTTCAGTCGTAATATGACCGTCAGTCGCATGACGCCCGACATTCTACGAAAAAGTTAGCTTAAATGCTCTATATAGGGAGGGGTGAACAAAAACTTGGACTCTCCCTGAGCAAAATTGTTTCTTCATCTCGTCATTCTCGATGATTGCCAATGGGGGCGTGATGTCAAAGTTTTTACTGCCTCCATCCCCACAAGTCTACCGGGACTCCGAGCCAGTCCTAATAACTGCAAGGACCCGCATGGCATCTGGAAATTTTAGAGGGTCACCAAACTTTTGGACTGTCAGCAAGTATTTAAGGTCCTTTATTCGGTTCCTATACTGCCTCGCACTCTCTTTTTGGCCCTGGAACACACGGCATACGGTTTTGATCTCCTCCTTTTTTCGTTTCCAGTTTCCAGAGATGAGCTTTTTTGTCTCTTTTGTGGTGCTGAAGGAGATTGGGCAGGAGCTGAAGATAGTGGAGTACAGAGAGAGGGAACCCTTTTAAGAGGGGACATATTCACAAGGGTTGAGTCAGTGAAGGAGAGTTATACATTTCATTGTGATGGGGAAGACGGGGAAGAGGCTAAGTGGCATGGCACCCCGTTGCTCCTAGTTGACTAACTTTTTTCGCTTGCGTTGTGGCAGGAGATTGTGACCGTGCTCTAGTGTGGGCACCTTTTTAAGGGTCTAGCCTCGTGACCCTTTTTTATGTGTTGGGAAAAGATGGGTCAAAGGCTAAAGAACGCGACACTCCTACTGACCTAAGTTACTTATTTGGCTTCCAGTTGCCTCTCCAGCTCTTACATTTTTTTCAAATTTTTCATAACCTGTGTCATACTTTTTGCTCAGGATATGTAGTTTTTCGGTGGAGCTAGCCGGGGTCTTACCCTTTGGAATGGGACTGTTAGTACCTTTGCTTTTGCCGGCTTCAGGGGACTGAGATCACGCAGTTTGGGGTTTCCCTTTCACTCTACTCATCATCAGCCATTAACCTTAACCTAACTCTAATCCTAACACCATCAGATATTCCTGTGTATCATTCGCCTTTGTGGTAGGTAATGTGGGCTCTGGAAGAGACACGACCGGAGCCTTTTGACCTCCGGTGCCAACTGCAGGCAGGCCCATTACATGCGCCAAGGATCAAGTAGTTTCAGCTAGAGGGGGATTTTGGTCAGACTTAGGCTGGCCTCCGGAGGGCTTCTTTTCTGGGCAGAAAGGGGCGAGATGACCCATCCATACCTCCAACAAGCTGGTTTCCTCCGTCACGATGACGGTTTAATTCTTCCCGCCTAGCTGTTGGGAATGGAGGTGAAGACCTCGCTATCAAACATCAATTCGAACGTCTATTCACTCATCTCATATTCAGAAGTAACACTCACTAATTGGCCATACTGCATAAGATATTCCCCTAAGTGCTCTCTGAGAATATAGGAATCATCGTAGACCGCCACCTTGGTCCTTCGCCGTCCTCGCTATTCTGTGCGGATGATATAGTACTTTGTGATTTAATAACGTGACGCTGCATCCACACAGTCCTAGGGTATGGGCAACAGTACTTCCTACATGAAATACTCTGAATCTCTGATGATCGGTTTAACCACTGAGGTAATCAGGGATTTTATCATTGTGTCTTTTGTACACCGACTAATTTTGCGCGTTAGCTTGTCGAGCACATAGACTGACACTGTTCTTTTCGCAATGCGCTCTTGTGCATCGAGGTCTACCAAAAGCCCGCCATCGGTAACCAGATGAACTTACTGTTTGGCTAGCTTAATGAACTCCGTCATATTGACTCTATATTTAGGAGGTGGGGGGCTCCAAAAAGAGAGTGATTCTCCAACCGCTACACTGTTAACTTCGTCCGCCGCCATGTTCGTGCTAAGTCATTGTCATTTTCCTGTTCTTTATTTTCTCCTTCAACGAGTGAGGTGGATGAATCATCTTTCCTCTTATAGGGGCCATCTTTGGATGATCTACTATTTTTTAAAATTTTTTTGGTCTTTTTCTTTTCTTTTTCTTTTTGGGAAGGGAAGAACAGCATCATTTTTGTCTGGTGGATCTGTCTTTTTTGTTCGACCGATTTGGTGGGCCATCTTGTAGTTTTTTTTAAAAAAACAAAAACAAAATACGTTTTGGAATCTAAGCAAAAAAAATCAAAAGTTAAAAACCGAACTCATAAATAATTACACCGATCATATCTACCTATCCAGACGCCTTGCGTTATAAGTATCCGACCACAGCTTCATCGGAACCCATTTAAATACATACACAAACTTACCAGCCTCCTTCCGAAACATACTAGTAGAAGATACAAACATAACAACCTCGTTCACATGTAAAAAATAGATTAAAAATAATGGAAGCCTTAATAATAAAAAAGAAAAAGTCAACACTCAATAATATTAACTACGAACACGGCCACAATGTGTTCGGAAAATAAAACACCCCAATAACTCTAGAAATATACAACACAACCAATGGATCCAGTTAAAATGTAAAAATAAAATCATCCTTGATAATGGAAAAAATTATAACCGAAAGCGCTCGGAATTACAGAACATTTGGACAGTTTCTACACACACTATGTCCAGCAAAGAAAACACTTGTTTGAACACAAGAAAAATTAAATAAAAACTTAATCGCAGTACCTTGCCTGTCATCTTTAATGAAACGCACACACACACACACACACACACATATATATATATATTAGTTGTGCTACCGGTGATGAAAAACGGATATTTATTAAATTACTTCCGGGAAATATTCAACGCCCCTTTTCCATATATTTAAAACTTTCTTTATTCGAGTACTAATGGGACACACAGTAAGGATCTAACTCACTACACTTACAAATTGCAAGATAACAATATTATCGTATATGAATGCTTCTTTCTCCCTGATTTCGCCTGGCTTATCATTTGGGAAACTTCTTACCCATAAAAAAACTGCCCGGATGTTGCATCAAAGCTGTTGCCGCAATTGAATTGTACTTCCTGGTTTATTGAACATATTGTGCAGTATGTGCCTCCTCCGTATGCTCAAAGATTTTCTTCTTCTTCTTCAAAGTCAAAAAACGTGTAGTGACAAGGAATTCTCTTTGACCTTCGTTTTTAATAATTTGTCCTTTTAAATATAGCTGCGTACTTTTTGCTAGTTACTTGATGTCTGCTTTTGAATGTTTGGCATCAAAGAATATAAACCAAATAAGATGATGTGCATCTTTAAGATATTTGAGTTACATTTATTTTTGGTACAATACTAGCCTCAATTCTGTACTCATATCTGAAAGTTACTTGCTATTTGAAACCTTTTTGTTATCTACATTTGTCAAATAACTGCCAAAAGCCATATTGCTAAATTTAAAATGTTCAATTGAGAACTGCTAAGGCGGCGGTTTCTTTATGAATGTGGATCCCAGCAAGTTGTACCTTTTGCATGTTAATTAGTCACACCTGATTTATTTACTTGAACACTATTGATTTTATGCTTGCAAATGAATGCCTTCGAAGTGAAAAGATGTTGAAGATCAGAGATGTTGACGTGTATTCTTTAGAGTGGGTCGAGAGTAAGGTGATTGGTTGAACAAGAAATTAATAATATTGAGTAAGAGAAAAGAACTATGGTAGAAACAATGAATATAATTTGCTTAAAAGAATGAAAAAAAAGAAACGGAAAAATGTTAAATTCAAAATTTGGAGAAAAATGAATTAGGAGAATAGAATAAAAATATTGGCCGCCATTAGGAAAATATAAAGGATTTACAAATTAAAATCAGAAGAAAAATAGAATTTGATAAGAAAAAGTTTTAAACAATGAAAGAAGAAACGAATTGGAAAGATGAAATGAAGAAAGAATGACACTGAAGAAGGCAAGTACGGCAAGTGAAAGTGTGAGAGAAGAAGAAAGGAAATTAATGTTAAGAAAACAGAACGAGAAGATATTAACAAGGGGGGGGATATTTGGGGAAAATGAAGAAAACGATAAAGAATAGGAGAATAAATATTTTCAATTTTTTAAGAAGGAAAAGATTGAAATAAATTTAACAAAAATTATATTTAGAAAGAGAAACAGACTAAAGCAAATTATTTCACTTTGTGGGCATATGAATTGATAGAAAAACAGATAGAAATGTTGAAGGTAAAAATAAAAGGAAAGATAAACAAGTGGGGAGGTAAGAAAGAAAGAAAGAAAGAAAATGAATACAAAAGTGGAAGAACAAAAAAAAAAGGAAAACATGCCAATGAAACATAATTGAAAACTTAAAAAGAGAAAACTTGTGAGTTTATCGATGAAGAAAAAACACAAAGAAAATAATGCAAAATTAAATAAATACTAACATGACAGAAAAAGAAATCAAAGAAAAATATATATATATATATATATATATATATATATATCAGTATTTTGAAACTGAAATTTGGATTTTTTGAGAGGATGTCTAGTTATCGGCCACTATTAGGGTTGTGGGGGATCCGTAGATAGTTTTTGTAGAAACGGTATTCCTTGGGTATGCCTAAATTTCTATTAAAACTTAGAATGTTGGAATATATTTCAGAAAATCATCTAAAGAGCAGAATAAAAATAATGAACGTTAAAATCTCTTAGATATAAGAAAATCATTTCTATACATACTTCTTAAAATGACTTAATTTTCTGCCTTTAGCAAAACAGCAGTTATCCCTTTATTCATGGGTACGTTTCAAAATCAAGAATACAACAAACCGTGGAAAATACTGAAACCTAAGTGTGTTTTATTTATATATACACTTAAATGAACTTTGATTTATAAATTAGACAATAAAAAATTATAAAAATATATCACTAGAGTTATAATAAAGTTAAAAATATTTGTCCGTACAAAAACAAAACTTAGAAATCAGATATTTAAATCAACAAATAATATTAACAGAAAGATGTCTCATTGACAGCAATGGTATTGGCCAAATAACATAATTACGGATATTCATGGAAATAAAACGTAGAATGTCATTAGTTTATTTTTAAAATTCAGACAATGCAATTTATTTTATTATTTTCTCTATGTATAATATGATCTGCTCTGAGGCTTATTCCAAGCCTAAACGAACGTGCGTTCTATTGCTGAATTTTACAATTTATGACAATGTCTATTTGCTTGTTTTAGACGTGATTTCAAAAGTTTTATCATTTCTGTTTGTTCTTCAAATAAATCCAAACCGAGATCTTTGATTACTTTATCATCAGTCAAGGGTGTTTAACCAATGTCCAATCATTCTTGGTGACCAAGGTTAAAGTCAATCGTTCCCGCCGTTTTTTAACATCGCTCATATATGCAGAAAAAAATTTTTTTTCGACGAGCGACAGGCGGACATCTGTCACATAAAGAAAGACCGGATTTTGTCCTTCACTTTTTACAGAATCGGTATATGGTTCCACTAAACGAAAAGCTTCTAATTATATGAGTGGAAAACTTGTAATTTTGCTGTTCGTTTAAAAAAAATACAAACGGAAGAAAATAAGGATAAAAGAGGCGGTGTTATTACTTTCAAACTCTCCTTCGGTTTTATTTGATGTTAAGGAATGGCTGATGTCTGACCAGCGGAAATGAATGAATCAAGCCAAAGCGAAGGTTGGGCGCA